TACCGAGCGCGGAAACGTATGTTTCCAAATCCACAATAATATATAATTACATAAATTATTGTATAGAAAAAAAAAATATGGAAAGACGAAAATTTTTAGAAAACATTTTATCGGATTTCCCAATTGTTACGGACGAATAATCAAGTGGATCCAAATGAAAAGCCTTGTTTCGATGTAATAATAATAACATACACAATTTTGCAACGTTTCATTTAAATCGTATATAGAGAAAAATAAAGAGAAAACTAGACTTAGTTTCTAGTAATTTGAAAAGAAAAATAGTTGAAATTCGATTGTTGCGTAAGAAAACTTTAACAATCCGTTAATAATTTCACTTAACAAACATATGTTAATTAACGTGAGAATATTGACTTTTTTTTATTTATTTAAATATTTAATTATCAATTGCTAATTTGTAAATCAACAATCACTAACTTTTGCAAATATTAATTTTTTTTTTCATTCAATTTTATCCAAAACAATCCAATTGAAATGTTCATTTTTCTGGTCTTTATTCAATTAATTACTTAATTAATAAAGAAATTACAAAAAAAAATGTTACCGCCATCTGTTAACTAAATTTTTTTGAAAGAAATCCATTTTTGGAGCTTATTAAAACTGTATAAAACCGAATGAAAATCAATTACCTAATCAAATCAATAACGAAATTGCAAAAGAGATGTCGCTGATATTCATTTAAACAAAATAAAAACAAATTCCCCGCCAACTGTTTCAGTTTTCGTACAGTTCTATTTTTCCGCTCGATTCTTCCTCCAACATCTTTTCTTGCCTTTTCAACTGGAAGATGAAACATCCGTTTCTTTATGTTTTTCTCGTTAAAGTTTATTTTCTCTAACATTTTATATATATAGTTTTTTAGTGTACGAATCTAATATTTTTCTATCTTTTAAATGCAAAAATCTAACATTTAACTAACTGTTAATAATTTAATAATTCATTTTTGGTAAAATCGAATATAACCTTTAGATTATTTAGTAATTTCGATCTTCCAACGCATCTCAAGGTGACCCAATAAACTATATCTAAACTCAAGTCTCTCATTCTCTCACTCAACAAGAAGAAAGTTTTCTACTTAAGAAGAAATATCTAATAATAACTGTACGTGCAAATTGCGAAGTTTCCATAAGAGGATTTTATAGTAACAAAAAATTAATTTAAATTTAGTTCATTAAATTGCGCTTCCGTCGCTTTTTATCTTTTATAAATGTTTCAATCAATTTCATCTCCATGTATACAAACAACTCTCTTTGATGTTCCTTAATTAATTGATTTTCTTTTGCACGGTTTTTAGTCCCATCGAGTTACAAAAAAAATGCATTGAAAGTTTATACATTTAGTGCACTTTTTTTATAAAAACGCGAAAATAATCATCTTCACGAGCTTTTCCTTCAATCCATAACATAATTACAAAAATTTAGTCATAATTTTCTAGTTGGCATTAAAACCAGTACAATTATATTAAATCTCCATGGATACTACAATTTCGGTGACAATCGCAAGCCCGACAACCGAAAGACTATCTATTGAAATCCCGACTGTATCGAAATCCCGACAGTGTCTTTTATTGTTATAAATTTCTACAATAACATTTTTATGGTAGTCGGGATTTCGATATAGTCGGGATGTCTATATAGTCGGGATTTTGATGTAGTCGGGATTTTGACATAGTCGGGATTTCAAGCGTCGGGACTTTAATACAGTCGGGATTTCGAACGTCGGAATTTCGATACAGTCGGGATTTCAATAGACGGTCTTGCGATATAGACTCTACAATTTATATGCAGATATTGAAACGCGCAATGCGACAACACTGCAATTCGTGCTGTCATCGACACGTGCTCTTTATTTATTTATCATTGTTTTGTTTTCAAATTTCGGAAGTTTCGTTTAGTCGAAATTAGATGTCGCATCGATTGAAAAGAAGAAAAAACGAAATAAAAATCGTTTACGTTAACGTAATTGAACTTTGAAAAATAGAAACATTGATCAAGTATTGAAACGCATTCAAATTTATAAAATAAAAAAATTAAATGATCGAGTCTTAATTTGTTAAGTTTGTTCGATCAAAATTGATTATTGACTAATTTGTATTGGGATTTTTGCGTTTGCGAGTGAGTGAGTGAGTGAATCACATTAATCGAGAGAAGTCAACGTCGTTTTATTTATCCTTGAGTCTATTCCGTCTACACTATTCCGGCGTTAGGGAATCGAAGTGTGTCCTTGGGATTTATTTTATTATTTTTCGGTTGTGTGAGTTTACGACGACAACGACAACAGGTATATTGCTAATTGACATTTCTCAATTAAGAAATGACGTATTTCTCATTATTGTTGTTGTTATAGTGTGCGTATTTTGCTTTTGTTCTTGCGTTTCGTATGGGAAAGAGAGAAAGAGAGAAAGAAAGAATAGGAAGGACAGAGAAGTATTACGGGTTTTCGATGGATTGTGCATTGGAGGCGCGCGCGAGAGAGTTCACGTCTTCTCTTCTCGCTCGCGTCTTTGCTCCTTCTACCATTCTCCTCCTCCGTTTCGAGAGAAAGAACGAGAAAGCAAGCAACAGTGAGACGTGCAGGAAAGATAGAATGAGAGTGAGAGAGTTGGAGTAATTACCTTTGGTGAGTTGAACGGGATCTAACGGTGTGGCTGAGGCCTCCTGGTATATGGCGAAGGTAGCAATAATAGCAATCACAAGCACAGAACAACAACTCCGGCAGTAGTATTCAGGTATCAACATTTTAAGAGACACGAGGGTGTCGTTGCATCACAGCGCGAATACTCTTTGGCTCTCCTCGGTTCGACTCTCATCATCATCGTCGGATCGAGGAGGATGATGATGATGGGTCGCCGATATTGAAGGATTCAATTGATTCTTTTATTGCACTGTTGTCGATCTTTGGCATCACTTCACTTTTTCGCACTTCTACTGTGTGTTGTTATTGTTGTTGTTATCCTTTAAAACGCGTGTTCCACGCCGAAAGCGCGCGCATCAAGCACCTCCTCGCAGGACGACTCCGCGAACGCAACTGGCCTTCCTCCCACCGCAGGTACGGATTGCGTGGAGACGGATGGATCAGCGGCGGCGCTGACCGGTCGACGTCGAAGGCGGCTGTGGTGGAATCATCCCCCTTGTGCTCATATGTTCGACGATGATGATGACGATGATGGTACTTTTTATTCCAACCATTACCATACGTACCATTCGAAGCGAAACCTCTCGACCGGACACGACGTTCGTACCTTTCGCGCGTTGACCCTGAATCTAGTGAATATAGTTAATTGGCCGATGCTGTTTACTTCATTGTATAACGCCCACCATCAACCGCATGATCTTGCTTGCTTTCCTTTGTCGTCTTCCTTCTTGTACATACATGGAGTTCATCAACAATGTCCATTCACATCTTCAATTTACGAAACAATCAAAGTCTTTTTATTAACAGAATAATTACAAAAACTTACCTCAACTTTGAAAATAACTGAAATCATTAAATCCTTATATTAAATTAATAAATTGTTAATTTCTCATTAGAAGTTCTACTCTTGTAAAACTGAAAATAAAAAAACGCATTTAACAAATCAATGTTTAAATTTTCAAAATACGCTTATTCAAATATCTGCAATTGAAAACAAAAAAAAAATCAATAATATACATTTTTCAAATGTTGTTACTTATTACTAAAATCAAGTAACTCTTACCGAAACAAATGAAAAATCAATACCAACAACCATACAAAACAATTTCTAAATACACACTTGATTTAAGTCAAGAAGTTACATTAACCAAAAACAAATGAAAACCAATTGACAAAAACGTCAATCCAATTAATTTTACTTATTTTTAAAACCAATGTTAAAAATTAACAAAAAAATTGTTAAATTCCATTTTAACAAAACACGATTCGAATCATCTTTGAAACTGAAAAAAACAAATAAAAAAAAGCACGTTTTAAATGTTGATTTTCTTTTAAACAATATAGATGTACCAAAAAACAAATGAAAAGGAAATTAAATTTTAGTTTTCGTCTTTTGTTGATTTTTTTATCTTTAAATACAAATCGTTGACGGAAAAATTTAGTTTTCTACATGAAAACCGAAAAAATAAAAATCTACCTGACTACGTTGAATCTCATTAAGTATTACATCAAATTATAATTTTGAAAACGTTGCAATCGCCGAACGTGATTCGATTTCCAAACAGAAACTACAACTCTTTTTTTTTTTTTTGTAATTTTTCTATACAAAGATAGATAACTTTACAAACACGTCGAGAGATGTCAAGTGAACACAACAATAGGGGAAGAAAACTTTACTTTAGCCCTTAAAAACTAACCGCATAAATTTCCCCAACGATATTATTTGGATCCGAACGAAAAATCTAGTTGGTGCAGGCGAAAAGTTTTTGCAAAACAAAAAAATCTAAAACTTCGATTTGTGAAAACTCGGTTTTAGTCGTGGTAACTAGATTTAAAACAAGTTTTGTTTATTTCTTTTTTTGCCCTGTAAATTTGCTTTAGCTGTTGTTAAAATCTGTTGTTCATTCATTAATCATTGATTTACAAATGAATTTATGAACTATTTACTTGATTTCATTATTTACAAAACGTAAAGCTATTAACGTAGATTAGTATCTCGTTATTAATAATAAACAAAAGATTTTCGATTCGAAAGCGTTCGCGATTCTTAATGCAAACAAATTTAAATCACCGATTAAAGAGATTTTTTTTATAGCCTCTATAGTGTTCATAAATTTGAGGTTAATCTCCGATTAGCAAAATCAATATTAGATTTAATTACGAAACCATACTTTTGTGCCTGGACATTAATCCAAAGACTTTAATCTCGATCATTAAAATAAAATTATAGGGATGATGGGAATAGTGTAGTGTGCAAAATAGGATACATTCTCGATAGCCGCAGATTAAATATAATATATTTATATAACGTCCATTACAAAATAAATACTGAATATATATTTTTTTTTTTCTAGTTTTTACCGTTTTTGATTACGCTTAACTAATAATGTTACATTAATAAGTAAAAAATATATTAAATATATCCTAATTCGCTTTATACTAATTATATAATATACGCATATTAACTACTATTTGTTAGATTCGACTTTCAAATGCCGACAATTTGATTTGATTACTGGTATTTAAAACTCACTTGACTAATAATACACATATTCTTCTCCTGTATGTATGCAGCGAGCGAAGATCGTGCGAATATTCAAATATATCAAAATTTGGGGGAAGAAGCTGGGAGGATGCAGGGCGGAACTAGAGAAAAAAAACTAACAACAATTAGGGGTGGAAAAAGCGTAAGCGGATTAGTTAAATAATTTGGGGCTAGTTTAGTGCGTGTCTGAATCCAATCAGACGCACGGTTCGACGTAGTTGCCAGGAAAGAGGCCGGTGATGCCGTCCATAACGCCCTCCCACCAACCGTCGTCGTTCTTCTTCAAAACGTAGATGACGGAGCTCTCCTGGAAACTTAACTCGTCGTCTTTGTCCGCGTAGTAATCGTAAATTGCGACAACTGAAATCAAACAATTATATAATGGTTATAATTAGTTTAGTATGGTTGTTATATTACCTTTTTCGATGTAGTTTTTGGGGACCCAACCGGGAAGATCCTCTTCATCTGGAACGATTGGCATCACGCCTGACGTTCTAGGTCTTCCGAATGATTCGTGTTCATCTTCTGGCGGTGGAGGCGGCGGTAACGGTGGAGATTGGGCTCCGCCTCCGCGCGACGATCGGGACTGCCCACCGTGATGGGCGTGGCTCAGCGTGTGCATGCCTAAACTACCGTGCGGAACAGGGCCATGCTGCGGCATCATTAGAGAATGATGTCTCAAGCTGTTCGTGTTCGGTACGGGCATCTCCTGATTCACTAAAGGAGATGGGGGCGGCGGCATGCTCATGTGATGATCGTTCGCCGCGTACACAGTGTTACCCGGAGGCGGCGGTGGAGGAGGAGTTTGCGGATGCGGCTGCTGCTGCACGCTCATTGGATGCACCATACCCACTTGAGGCGGCGACATCACTTGGTGCTGCGGTTGCGTCATTGGCAACGTGCTGTAACCGGCGCCGCGTTCGCCGCGTCTCGGATGACCAATCGGGAAGTTGGGGGCGTAATGACTGGGCACCTGGGGCGGGGCCACAGCCGGAGGCGTCCTATACTCGCGACTACCCTTGCTCAAAGTACCGCCAGATACAGAAACTATATAAAAAAAAAAACAAATAATTACACACAAATCTTAAAATAACAAAGAAGAAACGCACCTTTACTTCCGGTTCTCGTGACTTGAGGCGGAGTGGGCGGCTTCGTCGTAGGAGCCGGACCAACCATCGAAGAGTTAGTGGACATTCCACCAATTGATTGGATACTGCCCTGACTCGATCCCCTCTGCTTCTGGATACGCGGCGTGCTGGCGCTCCTCACCCCATGTCCGATATCATCCAAAACTGTAAAATCCACCTTTGCTAAAAATAGGGGTTTATACACACGAATCCGTGCACTTACCGAAATAATCAATAGGCTTCCTCACATACTTGATAGGCTTCTCCGGATTGCTCGGAGCAATAATCTTATATTGCCTAGTCGTAGATTTATTAGCAGTCAACACTCCAATCTCACGACGCGCCACCTTCTCCTTATGTATCATCACTGTCTGATTAATATGATTCATCTGACTCTCCATCTCGGCCAGCTGAGAAGTCTGCAGCTCCAACAGCTGCAGAAAGTTGTACGCCAAAGTGTTTATCTGATAAGCCACACTGGCCAACGACTGTGTAGTGTAATTCTTCGTCTCCTCCAGAGCAACTTTCTTATCCTCCGACTGGAAATAGTTGGCCTCACAATACTCAGCCACCCGCTCCAAATTGACATGATTATCAGACAGATTGTTCCTGCCATCAGGAATCTCCGATCTCAGCAATGCTGCCAGCTCTGCCATGGCGTCGCAATCGCTGATCACACCCGACTCACTCAAACTCCCTGCAAAATTTTTATCACGATCAAATCAGCGTTGATAACAGCAACATATATATAAACAAAAGCAACACTCACCATGGGTGTAGTAACCAACACTCATACTAATACCGTTTGCATAATTTCATGGGTGAAAGAAGAAAAGAAATGAAAGAATCAACACACTTGTTGCAGAAACAACAAAAAAAAAACAATTATACGCAGTTAATTAAACGGGAAATGCAATTATAATTCATTAAAAACGAACGTTAATAATAAACACGACTGAGGAATGACAGTAATTATTAACATGCACGAAGTCAGCAGCGTTTTCAAAACTAGGCAACTATTATACAATTGATATAGGCAACACAATTCACGCAACACATTGAAATTTGTATAATTTACAAGTTGTATTTCAAAGATGAAACTGAAATAAACTTACATTTTAGTTTATTGTCTTAAATTCAATAGAAATATAATTCTAACTAATTTCTCAATGTAAACAAATAATAGAATTATATGCAACCTGAGTTACATAATAGGGTGTGTCTACAGGATGTTGTTGCCAATGGGAACAGGAAAGAAAAAAACTCCACCCTCTGGAAAGGCGTGTTAAATTGTGTAATTTCTGGTTTATTAAAATTTCATATTATTTTTTTTTATTAAACTCAAATACGTTTAAAAGGGTTTCAATCAATACTTTTATCGCGTCTCTCATTTGTTTTATATATATATACTTTTTTTCACCTTCGTCATCATCATTGAACAACAATAATAATAATTAATAATCAACACGGTTTGAAGAGAGGGCGGCAACTCCCAGCAAAGAACAAAAGAAGAAACAAAAACAAAACAGTTAGGGTGAAGGGATCCACCCTCTCCAACCCTGCTTATATACAAATTGTTTAGCAATCTCGCAATTGTTTCTCTCCGAAGTTAGTGGTAGTAGAAGATGAGCGTTCATTTGTCTTTTACATTCAATCAATTCGCACATAAGATAACATGATTTTTGTTGATCCTTTCTTTTAAATTGTTTGTTTGTTTATTTTATATATATATATCTTCTTCATTCATTTTTTTCTTTACTTCTTTCATTTGTTTATCAATATTTTTCATATATATATATATAATATATCTCATTGGCAGGGAAATCTCGAATTTACAATTACACTACAAAAAACATTGATAAAACTACCTAAATGTAACAATTGGCTATACATATATAATATATAAATCGTATTATTCATCAATCAATCAATCAATTATATAATCATCTTTTTTTTTTTTCTTAAAACTTGACCATCGTCCATATTTCTGAGGCTCAATTATAATTTTTTTTTCCATACATATATTTCATTCACATATAATAATACAATATGTTTATTTATTTATTTACTCTTGTTTTTTTTTTCAATAATATTAAATAATTATTCATCAAAGGATTTGTTAAATTAAACAGAAAATAATAATAATTAGAAACGACACCAAGTGCGCGCGAACAACAACAACAAACAACAAAATAAATTAAACAATTGCTAGTGTGATTTATTAATTTGAATTGGGGGGGGGTCGTGTTGTGTTTTAGTTCTCTTTTTTTTTTGGTTCGCAATTGTTTTGTTTTTTTCACACATCTATACAGAAAGCTGTTTTGGGTCCACAAGAAACGGGAGTAGGCTTTGATTTTTTTTTGTTTTTGATACATTTTCATCATCACAACAAAAAAAAAGAAGACAAAACGTTGACGTTTATATTAATAATGATAATAATATATGTGTATATATTTATAGAGAGAGAGTGAGAGGATGGGGAGAAACAAATGTTCGGGATTTGCAATTCTTTTGTTTCGCTATAATGCTATAAGGGTTCTTGATCTCTTTTTTTTTCTTCTCTCTTTCGGAATAACGGTTATAGACGTTTTATATAATATATATATAGAGAGGGGGATGAAATTTGTGTGGGGTGGGGAGAACGAGAGAGAGGTGCTGGTTCTTCTTTTGTTTTTTTTTGTTTTCTTTACTATATATATAACGCTAAATGTATGTTTTTTTTGTTTGTTTGTTTGCAAGCAGGTTCGCATTTATATAAATATTCATATCGTCTTGTCTACTAGATATTGGATAGGGTTTGGTTGGTGTGTGTGTTTTTGTTTGAGAAGATAGAGGGGGTATTAAGTAAGTAAGATTTAGATATAGAGAGAGAGTAGTAGTAGTAGTAGGTCAAAGGTAGGCACTGCACGATTAATATAGTTATATAGTAGTAATAGTAGTTCTAATAGAGTAGAGTATTGTTGGTGTACAACAACAACAAGAAGAAGAACGTTAGATTTAGGTAGGGTTCGAGGAGGATCTGGTAATTTACCGTTGGAGGAGGATTCTGGGATGGTGAAGTGGTGGTTGGGATGTTGTATCTTTCTCAGTGCAAGCAGGAGGAGCGCGGCGGTAGTGTCCACACGGGTGGGGCCGAAGGTCACAGCTTTTCCTTCGTCGGCACCCAGATCTTCGGGCCGGATTGCTGTCCGATCACGTCCTTCACCGCCGAATATATGTCTTCAGGAGTATCGCCTTGCACCACAGCTAAAAGAAAAGGAACAAAATTAGTTTATTCTTAATTAAATAGTTCAACAATCTATTGTTAACTAAATCGGTGGCAATCGCAAACCCGACAACCGAAATCCTATCTATCGAAATCCCGACTATGTCAAAATCTCAACTACCATAATCCCGACTATATCGAAATCCCGATTATATTGAAATCCCGGCAGTGTCTTTTATTATTATAAATTTCTACAATATGGTAGTCGGGATTTTGATTGTCGGGATTATGGTAGTCGAGATTTCGATAGAGTTGGGATTTTGATATAGTCGGGATTATGGTAGTCGAGATTTCGATAGAGTTGGGATTTTGATTGTCGGGATTATGGTAGTCGAGATTTTGACATAGTCGGGATTTCAATACAGCAGTGATTTCGAACGTCGGGATTTCGATAAACGGTCTTTCGGTTGTCGTGCTTGCGATATAGACTCAACTAAACAGTTAATCCTAAATAGTTTACAAATGGATGTTAACTAATTGAATTGAAAGAAAGTAATGATTACCAGTGAAATATTCGCCGAATTCCTGCTCCATCTTCAGAGCACGCTCGAACGTTTTCTTGACCTGTTCCTCGGTCATCCTCTTATTCATCTCCCTACAAACCAAAACAAGAAAAAACCATTAAATTAAGTAATCTAAACTAGAGACGTAGTTACAACTTACATAATAGATTCGACCGATTTGGGTTTGATGAAGATCGCAACCGGATAGAGTTGTGCGACTTGAAGCCGTTTGATGGCGTTACCGCTTACATCGAGAATGCAATGCTTTCCCTTATCAGCTACCTCCCTCACCGAAGCCACCGACGTACCGTAAAGATTATCATTGTACTGTCCGGCTTCGATGAACAGATGATTCTGAATGTCCTTCTCCATCTGCTCTCTGGAGGCGACGAAATGGTAATCCCTTCCGTCAACCTCGTACTCTCTCTTCGGCCTTGTCGTATCTACAAATTACACAAATCAATCATCAATATCATAACTTCAAATCATCTTATTAAGACTTACGTGGAACGCAGCTACCGAATTTATCTGGAAACTCGGAGATGAGATCGTCGTTGATGCGGTCCTTCATCGCACCCAAAACGATCACCGGTCTGGTGTAGCTGATCTGCATCTGCTGTACGGGTTCGTAGGAGAGTACGCACTCCTCGTTGCCTGCAAGAATCGAAATCGCGATGTTAGCAATCATCTAAACGTTCCTCAAACACACAAAAATCCGTAATAAAAACAAAATAATTTATATATATATAAAAAAAATAAAACAAAAGAAAAGGTGCAAACATAACGTAACTTAAACGTAAAGAAATAATAAGTTAATAATAAAGAAACAAACGAATTAATTAATTAATCGAAAATCAAGTTTGTTCTACGGTTAAAACTCGTCGTCTAAGACGAGAAAAGCCAATTCTCTTTCGAAAACAAAACAAAACAAAACAAACTAAAACATAAATAAATGTAAACAAAACAAACTAAAACATAAGAAAATGTAACGTAACGTATTTTTTTTCTTTTACAATTAAAAACTGATTTTAAAAAAAAACATTACTAATTCATCAATTAATTAAAAAATCTGATCTAAACTTAATTTATGTTTGATGAAGTCTGCAAATAATTTCGGAAACTTATTAGTTTTATAGAAAATTATAAGATATTAACTTTTGAACTAATTGATTGAAATAGTTCAAAAAGTAACGAATTAGGTCAATTTGTTTATTATGTATGCAACAGTGTTTCTAAATGCAAATAATTTCAGAAACTCATTAGTTTTATATAAAATTATAAGATATTGACTTTTGAACTAATTGAAATAGTTCAAAACGTAACAAATTAGTTCAATTTGATTATTATGTATGCAAAAGTGTTTCTAAATGCAAATAACTTCGGAAACTCATTAGTTTTATAGAAAATTATGAGATATTAACTTTTGAACTAATTGATTGAAATAGTTCAAAAAGTAACGAATTAGTTCAATTTGTTTATTATGTATGCAACAGTGTTTCTAAATGTTTTTTGTTGTTAAATCAGTTTTTAGTGTTTCGTTTCGCGTTATGATTCTAAACATAATTTGCCAGTGAAGACGGAAAACATCTGAAGTGAAAGCTCTGGTGTAGCCGGATTTACACGTAACGATTTACAACGAATATAATAATAACAAAAGAAGAAAGAAAAACAAAACAAAATATGTTAACGAACAAAAGAATAACGAATAACGAGAGTATTCACATGACACAAGTCGTGGGCATACGCATGACACAAATGTTTATTTTTTTTTTTGGATTAAAAATGAAAGAATAAAGTTTTAGAATAAAACTCACGACATCTCTTCTAAAAGAGAAAAAAAAAGAAGCTCGCATTGTCTCAAAAAAAAAAAACAAAATTTTGTTTTGAGACAACGAGACAATGGATTAAATCAATCAATCAATCAAAATTAATTAATTGGAAACAAGTTCGAATCGTTGCTAATACGCAAATGAAAACAAAAAAAAAAACAAAAAAGTTCAAGTTTTTTACACACACAACAACACCTACTTAATTATTTACTTACAACCTAAAACAAAAGAGGAGAAAAACAATAAAAGTTCTAGTGTTCTAGTGATAATCAACGAAACGAATAAAAATGCACACTAGATTGAATCGAATAGGAACAAAACAACAACATGGAGACGTGCATCCTCTTCATACTATTCCAATAATTCAATAGTTCAAATGATAAAGTAGTTCAAATTTACACACACCATCACAATTGGTAATATGACAAGCAAAAGAGAAGAGGATGCATTTAAAGATAAACGTAGAAGTATTAAATATATCAACTATGTATGCACATTCGTTCTAAAAGTAAGTCAAGATAAAACAAAACAAAAACAATAAAGTTCAGCGAAAATCAAGCTACGATCAAAAAAACAAAAGAAAAAATGATTAATATACGTCTTTTATCCTTGATTAGTTTTCTCGTTTCAAAACAAAATCTAAACAATCGATGAACCAAAAAAAAAAAACAAACGAAGAAGAAATAATAACAACAAATAAACAAATGATTTGAATAATTGAGTGTGTGTAAATAAATGAGAAAAGTGAAATGGATCAAATCCGAAATAATAATTTTTTGAACTATTTATAATATATGTACAACAATATACAGTGTGTAGCTTACTTTTTTTGTAACGAAACGAAAAACCTGAACGATTTTCAATAGAATAGTTCAAATAGATCAGTTTTCGTGCAATTGTTTTTCTTTACAAAAAAAAAAACAAAAAATAAATGAAAACAACTGAAGAGAGAGAGAGAAACAAAAGAAGAATAAACTAAAAATAATAAGAATCTAAATAAATCTTTGGGATTCGTTTAAAAACATAAATTTGCATTTTTTTTCTGTTTTGAATAAGGGATTGGCGCGGATTGGATGGGCAAAATAATAATAAAAAAAAACGGTTTTCGCGGGAATATTTAAAATTTTGAATTCTCTTTGATGTATGTATATGTGTGTATACTAAATACACATATATGCATATGATAAAGATAAAGAAAGAAATATGTAAATAGAGAGAGAGAGATAGAGAGATAAAAGTGGGGGTGGGGGGGTTATTATAATATATGTATGTATATATAATAATAATAAATTAAGTGGGCATTGGCGATTGCCATGCAGTCACAACACTAACACACTTACTATAGCTGTCATAATTATCATTATTCTCCAGATAAATAAGAGTTATTTCTTCCATGTAAGGCAGCTCAACGCGATATAATATTTCACCTGTACTATGGAAACACAGAAAGAAGCCAAAAAAGAAAAAAGTCATATATAGTAAAACCAAAACGACACCGACACTTTCAGAAATTACACAAAATCATCATCATCTTCAACACACATAGAGAGATCACAATTCGATCCACATAGTTCCATACGCATCGTTTCCATAGTAACAAACAATATAAATAATAACAATTGATTGAGAGAGAGAGAGACGCATACAGTTAAATATACGCATTTCCATGGTAACAGTGAAACGAGTCGAACGAAACAAGAATAGAAACTTATATATATAAATATTATTAATACTAAAAGAAATAAATAATAATAGTTCGTATACTGTACCTTCGGAATTGGCGTCTTCTTGAGTGTAACACAACATGAAGGCTGCAACATAAAGAATAAAAAAACATTAATTTAAGCTATAAACGATAATTGCCAAAAAACAAACGAAAAACCAAAATGCATTCTCTTTTTAGTAAACGACAATTGTAGTTAACAATAATTATAGAAATAAAATAAAAAACAACATTCCAATTAGTTCACAAATGTTCGTGTATATGTGAGAGTGTTAATCAAACAAAAACAATCAATGTAGTATATAGTGGAGATAAGTCATCTGAAAACAAATAAGAAGTTAATGCATTGTGCACAGAAAAAATATCCTTTTTGTTGCCTTTTTCTTCAATCCTAAATCAGTGAAGATTTTTTTTTAACCCTTTGCGGACGGAGATTATTTGAAGGTTTTTGTGAAATTGCCGAGTATTGTTCAAAAGTTATACGAATCCATCTGAAAAAGATTCGATGACAAGTGAATATATCCGCCAAACGTCCGGAAAGGGTTAAGTACAGAAGCATTTTGAAGCGTGTTATTTGTTTAAGAACAAATTGTGCTGTGGATAAGATAATTTCTCCGAGTTGTGACCAATTTTCATTTTTCATAAACTAAAACTAATTATTAAGAAATTTAAACACACTTTTTTCCAATTACACAAATCTAACTAAAAATCTACCATCAAAGTATTACGTATAAACAATATTTTTAAAATCACACAACAAAATATAAATTGTATTCAATAAAAGCGACATCTTGTGGTAAACCTTTGAAGAATACAATTATGGTGGATGCGCCGGGTACCGGAAATAATAATAATTGCTAATTTACATCCAATTTAGTTTGTTTAAAAAGTATATAGTCTTACGTTAATGAAGAATTTTCAGTTATTTAATGAAGAAATTGCAAGAAAAAAATTCAATTCATTTTATCAAGTGTGTAAAAACTATCACAATTTGTTTTATAATGTAAATATTAGTATTAATCAAGTCAACAGATTGGATCTATTTGAACTTTTGCACTTCAAGATGATGATGATGGTCATTCGGTCGTGCTGTTAATGATGGTCAAAATAAATGCTGTAATAAAGGTGAGAGGGCGGCGGCGGTGGTGCCGAAAGAAGTAAAACAAATGAGAGAGAAAAAAAAACTTCAAAAACAACAAAAACCTGTGCTACTCGCTTTTTTTTCGTTTTTTCAAAAAAAAAACAACAACCTTAGTACGTTTAGTACTTACATGGCGTACTCGATTCTGTATCTACCGCAGATAAAGGGGAGGCGGTTGGAGATTCTAGGGGGAACAATTTCAACGAAAATAAATACAAAAAAACAAAAAACAAGAAACAAAAAATAAATTGAATTGAAATAATGATGGAAAAAAAAAAAGAAAAACAAATGGGATGGATTTGATGATTAGTTTGATTCGATTGTCTTACGTTCTTGGTCGGAGCCGTCCTCGCTCTTGTCGTCTTTGCTCTTCATGAACGGGAATTTACGGCTGAACGAAAAGTTCTTCTTTTTCCTATCCAGAGTCGATTGCTGCAAAAATTTTACGAGTTGGTACGCTTTGTTTGTTAGGATGCATTTTTTATGTTGGTTACCTTTTCGAGGATGTTCGGCATGTGCCCTTGGAATTTGACGGATCTATCGCGCGCCCTCTGCTTCCTCTCCCATCTCTTCTTCGATGGAACAATTCCCATACCTTGCTCATCTCCAGAGTTCAGCACGCGCCTCGCCTGCCACCATTCGTCGTCGCTGGCGTTCGTCACGTGGAGGATATCTCCGTAGTGAAAAGCCAATCCCCGACTGGGGAGGCCGTCATCTTTCATCGGATCATAATCGAATAAAGCCCTATATCATTTACATTAACAATTACATAATTTGCAAAACGATTGTTTGATTATATACGAACCTCACGTAGAGCGACCTCTTTTGGGAGGTTCGCAACAAGGTGCCGCCTCCGCCGCCACCTCCTCCACCAACACCAACGACTCCACCAATCACCTGCTGGTTGATCTGCTGCTTGAGGTCGTGTATCTTCGCCTCGAATCGGTTGTACTCCTCCGGCCTATACTGCACGACGATCGTGACAGTCTGATTGGTTCCCTGCCATAAAACAATTGTAATTGCAATTAACATCTCTCTTCGTCTCACAGTAAGAATTCGTTTCGGTTCTTACGCTTACTTTGAGGGCCTGCGCGGCTTCCTCATGGGTCGCGTTCCTCAGATTAACACCATTAACGCTGATGATCTGATCGCCGCGTCTCAGTTCGGCGCAAAGATCCGCCGGTCCGCCTGCCAAGATGAACGATATGAAAATGCCTTCACCATCTTCGCCGCCGACGATGTTGAAGCCCAAACCACTGTTGCCCTTCGTCAGAACTACAGTGCGAACGTCCCTGAAAAACAAACAAACAAAAGAAAAACAATTAATTTACGAAACGTCAAGATGATAGCTTGTTGATGACAGCTGTTGATTCAGCGATCAAAGTGACCAAAACTCATTGCCATGGAAACGCGGTCAGGGAATCAGCATGGGTGACTCGACCGAAAAGCGTTTGCACGAGCTCTCGCAAAGGTTTTATCATCATTATAAATTCGAAACTCACATAACTTTGCTAATAACTACATTATTTTCTTTTAAATTGTCCACTCCTGCTACAGGGAAGATCTGACGAGAGACTGACGGAGGAGGGTTCGGTGGTTGGATGCAGAGGGCGCGCGCGCGTTCGTAGCCGCCCCCGACCTGCGATTTTCTGTTTTATTTTGCAAAAACAGGTGGAGGAGGAAATCGATACGGGAGAAAACCGTATTCCTATTGATGCTAAAATTAACCCTCCGATAAAACGAGGGACGGAAAGGACGAGGTTAGGACAGGACAGGACAAAATATTGCAACGTTGTCCTCCTGTTCATCTCTCTGCAGTCGAGGCACGATGCGCAACAAGTAAAATCGAGGAAGCGACGCGCTGAATCCTCAAGAGGTTTTCAACCATATTTCCACGAAGAAATTACTTGCGAATTACACAACGCAAAACTTACATATTACAATTTGATATTACAATAAAAACAAAATTAACTTCAATAAGTAAGCTGCGTATTTCAATTTCCTTAATCACCAAGGAAACGCGATTATATAAATGGTCATTTGCTATTATTATGGAATTCCCCGAGGCTCCAAATAAGTCATTTATTAATTAGTAAACTGTTGGTTTCATATAGCCTACTTTTTTTTTGTAATATTGTAGCATGTTTTATATTTATTTTTCATAGAATTTTTTTAATTAGTCTATAGATTAATCACAAATAATTAATTAATACGCATCTCCATGACATGAATTATTATGTATACGTTCGTAACTATTATGACTAATTTAGTTATATATAAATATCCTACACTTCATATACATGAAATTAACATAAATATTAGTAAAAGTTATGAAGTTACTTTAGAATTATTGATTTGTCCACATTGTAATTGATTCGGTAAAGATTTTGATAATTATTTCCTTCTTCGAATCTTCGTGTGGTGTGCTTGCATGCATATGCATCATTGGAAAGTTTGTTGTACGTTAAAATATGATGCGAACGCTTATGCGCACGTAAAGTTCGTGTACATACATACGTACGTACGAAGAAGTCGTTTTGAAAGCGAATCCTCGACTCGTCCAGAATAATATATTAGAAACATAAAGAAAAGAAGGAAACAAACGTATTGCATGTAGTAGCTAGCAACAACTTCTTCTGGGTAACCGAAACGAGTCGTGAAAGTTGAAATTCTTCATCTCTTAATGAATGAGCGGTAAATTATTTTTTGTGTAGTTATTTGTTGTTATTGTTGTATGCAACAAGTTTATCGTTAATTGCACAAGAACGGGTCGCGAAAAAAGAAAAAGTTAACAATCACAAACTTTTCAAACGCGTTTTCTTATTTACGTATAATTAACGGCCGGTCGTTAAAACTAATTGAAGTTATTTGGTCAAAGATAAGAATGATGGAGGGAAGGTTAATTTGTTGAAATTTATTTGCATTATTGCAATCACCACATCCATGACAAAAGTTGCTTAACTTTCTATACGATATTTGATTAATAATCAAAATAGTTCTAATAAGTAAGTAGTTCAAACGGATTGGAATTTAATCTAATCTTGCTTAACTTTCTTGTATAATAATATCGAAATAGGTAAAAATTTAGTAATTGAGATTGAGAAATGTTTGTTTTTTTTTAAATTAAATAAGAGAGTATCCACGGTTATCTCTTGGTTGCCACGAAACGCGTGAAAGTAGCTGTTGCATCTCGTGTCTAAATAAAAACAAATAAATAAACAAATGATCGCGAATTGTCGGCACGTTTTGTGTACAGCGAAGGAGGGAATTGTCGACGACGACGACGACGATGGTGGACATTTCTAATTTAATCCTCTAACCGAGCTGCGACTTTCTAAGCAATTTAGCCCATATACAGAGAGACGCAAGAGAATATTTATAACCATCCATATACGAAGACGACGACGAAACGCGATCCATCGTTGTCCACCGTAAAAACCCATCATCTATCAGCAACATTTTCTCCTCTCACATGAGAAAGGATTAGTCAATTTTACTATCAATCTCTTTCCAGTATGACGATCATCATCATTTGGTAGTTCAAATCGACTGTTTCTATGATCATAGCAATCCATGCAAAAAGAAAGAGTTTTATTTAATGATTTTGAAGTAATTCAATATTCAAAGTAGTTCTAATAAACAATTATTAAGTAATTGATTCTGAACATAATTTATATTTTAATTGATGACAAAGTTTAAAAAAACTTAGAATTTTTGTGTAGATGTATGTAAATGTTAAAATAGTTCAAATGAACAGTAGTTGAAACGATTTTTAAATAATCTAATTAAGTTTAAATTCAACCAATGCATAATAAATGTATGTTTATTATACTCAGTTGCTAAGCAACGTATCAAAAAATTATAAAACAAACAAAAACTGACTTTGAGAGTGTGACTTAATTGGCTTGAATTTGAAAATTAATTGGATTCAATTAGGAAAGAGACGTAACGCGTCGTCGGATTCGACGTGAAATTGTTTTTTTTTGTCTACTTTTTAGTGTTGATAAACTTAATTAATTGCATATTTAAATATAAATAAAGTGAACGAAATTTAATTAAGCAATTAAAAATTTACTCAATTTAATTATGTCCAGGTGGAGAAAAAAAAGATGTATACAACCTAAAATTAAGATATTTCTGAGATAAGTAATAACTAAAGTATATAAATGTAAAGTTAACGAGGTGATAAATTAACAGTTTAATTAAAGAAAGAAACATCAACGATTTGTGTTGAGATTTCTATTAATTTTTCAAGCAATATATTATAATAATTATGTTGAAAAATTAATTCAAAAAAATTATTGAAATTTACAAAAAAAAATCTATAAAATCTTTGAAAAATGTTCAAATTTTATTTAATTTTGGTTAAAATGTTTTTTTTTTGTATAAATTCTTAAACAAAACTAAACTAAATATATCTAGACTATAGACAATTAGTTCGTTTGAATCTTAGAAATTTGAATAAAAATTAGTTTAAAGTTTTTAAAAAATAGTTCAATTTTTCATTAAATCTTTGAAATATGTACAAATATCTTTTTCTATAGATTTTTAAACAAAACTAAACTAAATATATCTAGATTATAGATAATTAGTTCGTTTGAACCTTAGAAATTTTAATAAAAATTAGTCCAATTTTTTTTTAAATAGTTCAAATTTATATAAAAAAGCTAGTAAAGTAAATCTTGAGTTCATTGACATCTAGACTAAATGTAAACTAGTGCAGACTGAATTCGTCCCATGTTGACAAAAACGAAAATAAGCAAAATATTGAAAACAAGTGCTTCTTCGCAAAAATAAACAAAATTGTTTGACAACCAAACACAAAATACCAAAAGACTATCGATCAAGAAACTTAAGTCTGAAATCAACTTTAATAACTATGGAAACAATTGTAGACTTAAGTCTGAAATCAACTGTAATAACTATGGAAACAATTGTCAATTAAATAAATGACATAAAACTACTGGATATTTACAACACGCAAAGTTTAAATTAAACTAAATGCATTTGTTTTTCTGCAAATATTAAGTAGTTAGTGCACATTTATTTGCGATTTAGTTAGTTTACCTTTTCAATTTGTCTTTCTTCCTGAACCTACGACTCAGGGTGGCGAAGGTGCTCCGCAAAGGGAAGTTCTGCTGCTTGTTTTTGGTCATATCCTTGAGAGTAATATTCACACTCTAAATATATATATATTTATGTAGACATCGATTGAGACTATAGTGAAATAGTCCAACGAATCTTTTGGATGGATGGATAAAACTCCTTTTGTTGTTGTTATAGTTGTCGATGTGTCGGAAAATCGACTCCTCCTGCTGCTACCTGACAAATGACTAACGCCAACATTTCCCAGGTTACGTTACGTAAACAATCGAACAGTTTAAAGTTTGCAACGAGCGGGGAACCGAACGTACGTGACTCATCACCTCCGTAATTAGCATACGTTTTATTAATTTCGAATTTCATATTTTTGTTTTATTTATTTTACAATTTCTGAGGTTATCTTCTGACCAGGGTCGAAAGAATTGGAAGAAAGGTCACTTTCATCAATTCGCAAAAATAAAAACGGGTTTCAACTTTTCGTTTTCCTTGATCCAAAAAAAAACAATCCAAGTATTACTACTTCTTACATTTCTTATCAAAATGATTCGCTACGTAAATTAACAATTCGCAACTTAATGGCATGATAACAATTTGTTAACGACAAACGCTTAATTTGTTTGCTACTGAATGGAGTAATTCATTTGTTTAAGTAGACTAAGTCCTTGAAGTGAGTCACCCGAATTCCATTCTAAATTAATTGTTCTTAAATCAATATTTCAGAACTAACTTTAGTAGTTAACTAATTTCACTCAAAATCAATACAAATTACAAAAAAAAAAAAACTGAAAAATGTAGTTTATAGAAAAATTCAGAGATTTTTTTGCAGGATTTTAATTTGTTTAGAAACTAGTGTGAATTCATAAAATTAAAAATTTAAATTGTTTAAAAAAAAGTGTAGAAAATTGTTACAAAAAATTAGTTTAAAGACATTTATAAGACAGTGAAAATATAAAATTTAAATCTATAAACTAAACCTACTAATTTTTTTTGTTTGTTAATTCAACTAATCCTATTTCTTTGAAACAAACGCTGAACTAGTTACGGATTAACTTAAAGTTTATATTATGTTTCAAAAAAAATAAAATAGATATGCAAAAAAACTTGAGATTGTTTCAAAAAGAATGAGGTCAAACGTGAGGATTTTCATGTATAATCCAATAAATATGTATGCTTTAGTTTCCAACTGAATTCAGTTCATTCTTTTACGTGGACTTTAAACAAACTTTCAAAACTAGTGACATTTGAATATTACCAAAAAAAAAAGCGAATTTTATATTTCATGCAATTGAACTAAAACAATATAATCTTACATTTGAACTAAAAAAAATCGTAGATTTGAACTAAAAAAAATCGTAGATTTGAACTAAAAAAAACATAAGTTCATTAGAGTTAATTGAAACTAAAAGTTACGTGTTTTTTTGTTGTAATTTTAGAATTAGGGTCTTGCCCTTGTTTGCATTTGTTATTTGTAACTCTACTAGAGAGTAAACAGAGAGAAAGAGACCAAACCCTAATTCGCTTTTGTTTTTGTAATCCATGGCTATTCTTGTATCGTAACTAAATATAAAAACAACAACAATCTGTCAACTGTTTAAAAGCCTGCTTCGATGATACCAAGAAATAATGAATATTAAAACAAACGAAAAACGATTCGGAATTCGCGAACTACGTTTTGTTGCCCGATCGCGCCTTCAATATCATTATTATTACTGCTGTATACGGGTGTGTCCACACGGATACACATATGCAACAACGTGCGCGGACACGACCAGTTTTTAATCATTGATGTGTCACATTAATGAAACGTTTAATTAATGCGTTTCTCCTCGAGGACAGAACAAAAAATATCCATACTTAAGATGAGAAACTAGGCTAAATTGAAACAAATAGAAAAGACAAAAACTGTACAAAAAAAAATGTAATAATCCATACTAAAGACTAGAAAATAGTCCGGATTAGTTGTAGGATGAGAAGACTACAGCTATTAATTCAGATTTAAAATTCAAGTAGTTTGCTGGGTGAAGAAGATGTGAAAAGACAATAAATAAATGAAAAAAGTATACAGGAAATGGATGAGCTTTAGTAAAGTTGCATAATGCAATAGAAAAAAAAAACTGATCCTCGAAACGTAATCGATACGAAGAAGGCTTCTGTTAAATGCGGAAAACAAAAGGCTAACGACCTGCGAAACCCTCCAATAGCAGCGTAACACCATTATATTTATTTCGTTTTGTTTTCGCGTCTTAATTAGATATTAATATAAAGTTATATAGTCGCTGAAAATATCCTCGCAGTCTTGAGATATTTGCGTCCGTTCTTTCCGCATTCCCGACCTTTGCGAATTCGCGAGGGAAATTACGCGAAAAGCGCAGATCAGAGATGTCTTCTCTTGCATACTACGTACGAAATTCTCGCAATCTGATGACTGAATAATTAAAATATATCCAAACTCAATTATTTAGTGCAAGGAAACGAAGAAAACGCAACAAATTGAATTATTTAATTAAAAAAAAAGATAATAGATGTCGCTATGATAAAATTAAGAAAATTTGATAAATTAATGATTTTTTTTTATAATTAATTTTTTAGAATGAAGTTAAAATGAAGACATTATTGAGTGAAGTAATGTTTATGTTTATATAATAAATATCTGTAAAAAAAAATTGAAATTATCCAATTATTTTTGTCTTTTTCTACACGTGTCTAGTGCTTATTATAATTATTACAAAGTATTATAAAAATATTAGCAGTAACAACAAGAAAATTACATATGTTTTAATTGAATGTGAAACGTTCGCAAGGTCGTCGTGTCTCAAGGATTCCAACTTAGTATTGAATTAAGACTTAAAAATTACACTTATTGTATCTGTGTGACAAAAAAAGTTGTTTGTTTGAAAAGTTTAAAGTTAGAGATTTCTTAGTTCGTGTCTCCAATATTGCAGTTTTCAGATGATTTCGTGACTTCCAATTTTGTCAACAAACGAAAACAGGAAAAAAAAAGTCCATCCATTTAATTTGTTTTCGCGTTGCTCAGCGACCATGAAACATGTGCTCTTTGATGTGATTACCTCTCTGCACGTTACGCTATGTTATGTATGCGCTTCTGCTGTTGTTTTTTATTCTTGTTGTTGCATAGTTACTGTTGCTATGTTATTTGTGTCCTAATGAATGATCATCGGACAAAGTGTTATGCAATTTGGGAATACGGCCAAATCGGGTTTTCCCCCCGATAATTGGGAAATGAACGAAAGAAAGAAAAAAAAAGGCACATAGAATGAAAGGAATTATTCGAAGCTCTGGCACAGATTTAGTTTTCATCAATTTAATGGAACTGCAGCAACGAGTTTTATACTGATTACATTGAACGAAAAACTACAGTCTACAGTTGCAATATGTCGTCTAATAGGAATAATATAATTTACAGAAAAAAAGGATAATAGATGTCGCCATGATCAAATTAATTTCACAAGTTCAAATTGTATTAATTTGTAAAGAAAAATTCAATTATTTAAACAATGTGAGAAAACGTACGTTTCTTGAAATCGGATTAAAAAAAAATCGGGTTCAAATAGGAACAATATAATTTACAGATAAACGATAATAGATGTCGCCATTAATTTCACAAGTTCAAATTGTAAGAATTTATATAGAAAAATTCAATTATTTAAACAATTTGAAGCAGTGGGAAAACATACGTTTCTTGAGATCGGATTAAAGAAAAAATCAGGTTCAAATAGGAACAATATAATTTACAGAAAAACTATAATAGATGTCGCCATTAATTTCACAAGTTCAAATTGTATTAATTTGTAAAGAAAAATTCAATTATTTAAACAATTTGAAGCAGTGAGAAAACGTACGTTTCTTGAGATCGGATTAAAAAAAATCGGGTTCAAATGGGAACAATATAATTTACAGAAAAACGTTAATAGATATCGCCATTAATTTCACAAGTTCAAATTGGAAAAATTTATATAGAAAAATTCAATTATTTAAACAATTTGAAGCAGTGAGAAAACGTACGTTTCTTGAAATCGGGTTAAAAAAAAATCGGGTTCAAATAGGAACAATATAATTTACAGAAAAACGATAATAGATGTCGCCATTAATTTCACAAGTTCAAATTCTAAGAATTTATAAAGAAAAATTCAATTATTTAAACAATTTGAAGCAGTGAAAAAGTACGTTTCTTGAGATCGGGGATCAAAAAAATTCTTATGTTCTGCAGCAATTTGATGTCTAAATTTGGATGCGCGAAGGAGGAGGAAGAGGATACCAAAGTTGAACCCGAAAATAGAACCGAAGAGCCGTCAATGCCCCCGAGCCGCGTAAATAATTCTCGATTTCAATAATATTATTTCATACAATTCAATTCTACAGTTCTAATTGTATCGAATTCTCCTCGCACGGTTTTTCTTACAAGGCCCTAAACAAAAGACGTGCAAGAACAAACGAAAATTGCGATTTAGAAAGAACAAAACAAGAAAAAAGTATCCATTTACTGATTGGAAAAACTACGTTTCTTTTTTTTTGTTTCCATTTCTTCTCCAATTATTTCCTCTGCGTGTTTCGAGCGGAAAATGTTAGAGTTATTAGTTTACTTTTTTCTCGTTCAATTTGCGTCCATCACAACCGGACAAAACCAACACGACGATTTTAATTCAATTATAGAGCGCGGCCAATTTTTCCTTCCACATTCAACGAAATGAATAAAAATTCACTATTTGGCTTCTAATTCGCACATTTACTGATAAAACAATCAATTTGAATTTAGTCTATAGTCAGTATCAACTTTGAAAAAAAAATTGCCAGTTTTAAAATATTTTATGAAAATTTAATAGAAAATTACCAAAAAAACTGTAAATGATACTTATATGAATGTACACACATATTATTCTATATAGTTTTAGCTCTAATTTAACGTAACGTTTAAAGTTTTTGATATAACAGTTGATTTGTAAATTTGTAATTTTCTTTTTATAACTTATAATAAATTCAAAAGTTAGTCATCACAGTCATTCATTAAAATGATTCACTATATTACTATTTAGTTTACATTGCAATGAGACATCTTATTTAGATAGAGAAAAAAGCTGTTAATAAAGTATACAAATTTATGCGATAAAGTGCTAAATCAGTGAATGTGTTAAGTGTTTTAACAACAAAAAATATATGAATATAAAGAGGCAAGATTTTCAATCATTCAAAATCAAGTGTTTGAACTAAGTGTAGCATAAACGTATGACCTTCAATAGAAATCAAGAAAATATACCGTTATTGAGTCAATGAAAATAAGTAATATCTAAATCGTAGCTTTAAGTGCGAGTCAATAAGTTTTAATGAATCAATTTTTAATACTTTGTATTTAGTTATAAAAACTTTAGTACTAGTTATCATAAATATATAGAAGAACGTGTATTTTCATTTAGTACTTGTAATCTTTTTGTTAGTAAGTTATAAAAATGTGTTTACTTAAGTACTAAATCTTTGTCAGTCAATGAAAATCTAATAACTTAATCGTAAACCTATTTAAAATCAACTTTAATGAATCAATTTTTTTGTCTAATTTTTAACTTTCCTTGTATATTATTTAATTAGTAAGTTGTAAACTATGTTTATGAGTAAATCTAAACTTAAAAAATGATAAAAACGTGTATTCTCATTTAGAATTTACAGCGTTTTAGTAAGTAAGTAGTAAAATATGTTTACTTCAACTTTAAAAGCTGAGACTATCACATTAAGAAATGTTGAAAAAAAAATTCTTGTATTCCAAACGTATCGATTTCCACACTTATTTTTTTACGTAAGAGGTATCTCGACTTAATTAATGCCCAAAAATAAACAGAAATGTTGAGAGCTTTTCGGCAGCGACTGAGGGCGTTTCCGAAGAAGGTAAGAGAGAAAGACTAGAGTAGAAGACTTCTCTCATCTCATCTACACTTTCTAATCGAAAATTTTTGTATTCCATTTCGAGAATCCGATCGAGCGTAAATTTAGAATTTTAGAATTTAATTAGTGATGCTGCAATCAAAAATCTCTCTCAATTCGAATAGGAATAGAAAAAAAATTGTGGAAATTAAATTCAAATTGGAAATACGGTCGATTTCCGTTAATTGAATCGAATCGAATAATTAATTTATAGGTTTAACGGTATCACCTTTGGTGACACCTTTTCGTAAATACTACTACTAGTTCTTTTTTTTTTTTTGAAACTCGTTCTTCTTTTGTTATTATTTCTGTACGAAGTCGAGGACGATCGGTGAATTTCAATTGAAAACATCGTGTTTTCGCTGGAACAAAAACCGCACGTCTTAAATGTCAACAACGTTCTTCTTTTGTTGTTTTGCGCTTCGAGCACGCCCACACGATTCTCTTTGCCTACTCGATGTTTCATCATTTCTTCTTTGCAATTGTTTAATTCAATAATAATAATAAATTTATTATGGTTATTTCTATCGAAATTATTAATTTTTTTTTGTTCCCCGTTCGTTGCTTTTGTTTTATTGATATATTTTTTTACCCAAATCAAAAATCACGTATCCGGCATATTTCACTGCACTTCATACAATTCGTGGACACTGTACGCACAGAATTTTCAAATTTCCCGCGAATTTACTATGAGGCACAGTCTATACGACTCGAGCGTAGTTTGATCACTGGGAGTCTCTTACGTACGCGTACGGTATGGATAGTGGTGACTGCTACTTTACGTCTTTCTTTTTTTTTTTTTTGAAAATACCGCTTTCCCATTGGTCCGACCTTCTGAAGTAGTCCAAGTTCGCGTATCCCCACCACGCTTTGTACATGTACATTGTATGACTGATTTCGAAGGAGAAACAAAAAAAAATAATGCATATACCCACACCCCATTATAATAACCGTACTTTTAACCCCCCTTTCTGACGAGGACACGCAACCCTCGTCAGGGGTGAAGGGGAGAGAGAGAAAAAAAGAATACGCACCAGACGGAGACGGAATTCTAATAATACTACCGGTGGGGAAGGCCATTGAAACATGCGAAACTTCTCCTTTTTATATTTCATTTGTTGTTGTCGTCCTTCTCTTCCGCATCGAGAATATGGTCACAGCACCCTTCGTCAACCCATAACATAATAAAACTCAATGCAGCTGTTTTTCCGAAACGCTGTTTTCGTATAATCGATCATTACTTATTATCAGAATAATAAACCATTAGTTAATATTTAATGAAAAATTAGAGAAAACCTGTTAATGCTATAAATACGAAATTGTCATATACTTATTGTCTATAGTTTTAAGTTTATTTTGAGTATAAATATATAAATGCAACGTTCGTAGTTTTTGAGAAAAACGCTAAAATGTAAAGAAGCTTCAATAAATCATTCATTAAAATGTAACGAAAGATTAGAGAAAATCTGTTAATGTTATAAATACGAATTTATCCTATACTTATTCCCTATAGTTTTAATTTTAATTTGAGTATAAATATATAAATGCAACGTTCGTAGTTTTTGAGAAAAACGCTAAAATGTAAAGATGCTTCAATAAATCATTCATTTAAATGTAACGAAAGATTAGAGAAAATCTGTTAATGCTATAAATACGAGTTTATTATTTACTTATTCTCTATAGTTTTAAGTTTAATTTGAGTATAAATATATAAATGCAACGTTTATAGTTTTTGAGAAAAACGCTAAAATGTAAAGATGCTTCAATAAATCATTCATTAAAATTTAACGAAAGATTAGAGAAAATCTGTTAATGCTATAAGTACGAATTTATCTTATACTTATTCTATATAGTTTTAAGTTTAATTAGAGTATAAAGATATAAATGTAACGTTAAAAGTTTTTGAGAATAACTCTAATATGTAAAGATGCTTCCATAAATCATTCATTAAATTGTAACAAAAGATTAGAGCAAATCCGTTAATGCTATAATTACGAATTTATCATAAACTTATTCTCTATAGTTTTAAGTTTAATTTGAGTATAAATATATAAATGCAACGTTCGTAGTTTTTGAGAAAAACGATAAAATGGAAAGATGCTTCAATAAATCATTAATTAAAATGTAACTAAAGATTAGAGAAAATCTGTTAATGTTATAAGTACGAATTTATCCTATAGTTATTCTATATAGTTTTAAGTTTAATTAGAGTATAAAGATATAAATGTAACGTTCATAGTTTTTGAGAATAACTCTAATATGTAAAGATGCTTCCATAAATCATTCATTAAATTGTAACTAAAGATTAGAGAAAATCTGTTACTTTTATAAGTACGAATTTATCCTATAGTTATTCTCTATAGTTTTAAGTTTAATTTGAGTATAAATATATAAATGCAACGTTCATAGTTTTTGAGAAAAACGCTAAATTGTAAAGATGCTTCCATAAATCATTGATTAAAATTTAACGAAAGATTAGAGAAAATCTGTTAATGTTATAAATACGAATTTATCCTATGCTTATTCTCTATAGCTTTAAGTTTAATTTGAGTATAAATATATAAATGCAACGTTCGTACTTTTTGAGAAAAACGCTAAAATGTAAAGATGTTTCCATAAATCATTAATTAAAATGTAACGAAAGATTAGAGAAAATCTGTTAATGCTATAAGTATGAATTTACCCAATACTTATTCTCTATAGTTTTAAGTTTAATTTGAGTATAAATATATAAATTCAACATTCGTAGTTTTTGAGAAAATCGCTAAAATGTAAAGATACTTCCATAAATCATTAATTAAAATGTAACGAGAGATTAGAGAAAATCTGTTAATGTTATAAATATGAATTTATCCTATACTTATTCTCTGTAGTTTTAAGTTTAATTTGAGTATAAATATATAAATGTAACGTTCATAGCTTTTGAGAATAACGCTAAAATGTAAAGATGCTTCCATAAATCATTAATTAAAATTTAACGAAAGATTAGAGAAAATCTGTTAATGCTATAAGTACGAATTTATCCTATACTTATTCTCTATAGTTTTAAGTATAATTTGAGTATAAATATATAAATGCAACGTTCGTACTTTTTGAGAAAAACGCTAAAATGTAAAGATGCTTCCATAAATCATTCATTAAAATGTAATATTATTCGATTATAAAGAGAAAATTGACATAACCTCAATATGAAAAAATAAAATAATAACGCTTCTTTTATGACAACTCACAGTAACGAATTCTATTGTTTTTCTTGTTGGAATTTTTCATTTTAAGAAGGATTGTGAAGTATTCTATTGAATAATGTATCATTATTATTAGTCCGCACATTTCTATAGTTATCAAAACTCTATGTTTGAGTTTCGCGGTGAACGAGAAAATCCGGTATGCATTGTTTTCACTCCGCGCCAATCACATTTCCATGCGAAAATTCGCCTGAGATTTCTTCTTTTGTTTCCTGGGAGAAAAGAAAGTTGTGGCGCAACAAACGCCCCCGGTGTGGGATTAAAGATTTACGAGCTCGAACTTTCGTATAAATAACGCGTGTGTGTCGTCTACTCAGGGGTCGTATAACTTTACGTTTACTTAAATGTAGTTTGTAGCGAGCGAGTATGAATAGAATTTAGGGAGAATTAACGAGAAATTCCAAATCGAATGTGATTTATTGTGATGACTGGTTAAAGTCGATGAGGATAATTCATTTTTTTATTAGTTGGGAGTGAAAGTAAGTTGTTTATTTCGCGGTGAAATGTTTGTATTGATGCGAAAGAAAAATATATGTGTAGAGAGAAAAATAGAAGAAGCGGAGGCGCCGGGTATAAATGCTAATGTAACACGATTCCGCTTTCAGTATACAAAAATGTGCGGAGGCGGCTGCGGAATGGGGAAAATTGCAGTTTAACGACGAAACAAAAGCAATACGAGAAAAAAAAGTAGAAGGGCGGAAAAGAAAATATTTGCATGCATAAATTTCCGATGGAGAATCGTAGCGTGCGAGTCGTCGCTGACAATGTTAGTCTCTTTTTTTTGTTACTCAATTTTTTTTTCACGCATCCTTTGATTTATTTGCAGATGCTTCCTTACATAACTTCATGTAACGATTCCGATGTGCGTTTGGGTGGTTTCCTAGGTGATATTTGGCACACCGTTAAAGATCGACTGCATTTCAAGTATTCACTACAAATTTAGTTATAGTATTAAATTGATTAAGTTTAATTTGAAGTCACAGCGTTCAATCGGTTGATTACGACACGGGAATCAAGCTGATGACGCAACGGAAAGCCGACGTTATGTTGGCAGCCGTGGTCTATAAGAAAGGATTGAAGCACGTCGAATACTCGCAACCTTACTTCTACAATTGGTAAACGTATAAAGTTATAACATTTTCTACAAATTTGTAAATCCTAGCACTCATAACAATATACGCAATATCATATATATAGATATGAAAACTAATTTATCTTTGTAATTACCACCATGAATCAAGCGTGCGTCAACCGCATAGATTATTATGTCAGCACCGATGTTCATTTGTAAAATATAATTGATGTATAATATATTGACTATATGTATGACGGTTATGCAAAATCACGAACACCAATTGTCCGCATTTTAAGTGGATTACCGGAATTCCGTGTAAAAATTACGTTTTGAGAATTCAATTTGAATAGTTTTACGTGTTGCCTACATTAATTGATATTAACTTATGCAATCCAATCAACAATCCAATTAGAAGGCATTACTTAATTGTTGTGATGGTTGCTTCAATTGACAAGTTCTGTTGTAGCAAAAAGATGGCGCTTCGATCGAATTGAACTAAAACTAACATAATTCACTTTATTTTCGTTCGTTTTGAATTTCCGTTGCAGGTATCACTTATACATGAAAAAACCGGAAGCTACAGCATCTTCATCGTATTATTTAAAAACTTTGGATACAAATTGTCCGCATTTTAAGTGGATTACCGGATTTCCCTCGATTTTCCGTGTAAAAATTACGTTTTAAATTTCACGAAAATCTTGAGAATTAAATTTCAATAGTCTTTGGCAATACGTGTTGTCTATATTAATTAATATTAACTTATGCAATCCAATCAACAATCCAATTAGAAGCCATTACTTAATTGTTGTAATGGTTGCTTTAATTGACAAGTTCTGTTGTAGCAAAAAGATGGCGCTTTGATCGAATTTAACTAAAACTATCATAATTCACTTTATTTTCGTTCGTTTTGAATACCGTTTGCAGGTATCACCTTTACATGAAAAACCGGAAGCTACAGCATCTTCATCGTATTATTTAAAAACTTTGGATACTAATTGTCCGCATTTTAAGGGGATTACCGGATTTCCCTATTAACTTATGCAATCCAATCAACAATCCAATTAGAAGGCATTACTTAATTGTTGTGATGGTTGCTTCAATTGACAAGTTCTGTTGTAGCAAAAAGATGGCGCTTC